ACAAGCCACCCTCTGATTAATGAAATAAGTTAGTATCGGTTCATGGTATCGGTTAACTTTTACGAGTATGAGTACACACACATTTTACAGTATCGGCCCCGATACCCGATACCAGTATCGGTATCGGCCCCGATACCCGATACCAGTATCGGTATCGGTGCATCCCTAGTAATAGTATTATTTTATGTTAAGGTCACTATCTAAAATGACTCATGGTTGTTAAACATTATGCAGCTTTTTTTGGTTTTTCTGCCCCCAAAATCGAGATTAATGCAATTTTATTTGCAGTGCAGAGTTTGAAATGAAGCTAAAGAGGCATTAGTAGAGGGCCCTGAGAAAACATTCATTTGGGTAAACTGGATATGTGGCATCATTAGACCAGTGTTGTGTGTGGGAGTATAGCTGTTCATAATAATCACTTCATTTACTTTCCAGTTTTGAAATGTAAAATTCAAACCTCTGAACGATTCGGTGTCTAAATGTTTGTCAGTGTTGTGAATGCGTTCACCGTGTTAACATCAGCCGGGTTTGAGTTGAGCCGTGGCTTTGTCTGGTCTGCTGCTTCGACACTGACTGTTCATTCTACTCTTTCTTTTCTTTCTTTTTTCTCCTCTGGGTATTTCCATGTTTCTTCTCCTTTCTACAACCTCTCCCTGTCTTACTGTCCTCTCTTTCTCCTCTGACATTCTTTCTTTGTCCTGTGCTCTACCTGATCTGCATGCAACCTTCCTCTGCTGCCCTCTGGCATCTGTCAGCTATCATATGATCAGGTAACTGCTATGTCTGCCTTGGCCTTTGTTTCTGCCTCCTTGTCTGTCCTCCTTGTGCTTTTTGCGCCCAACACCCCAAAGCTGGTCCCCTTCCTATCTTTCACTGCACTGCCTTTTACACTGGTGGAAGTAATTATCTGATCCCCTGCTAGATTTGTACGTTTGCTCACTTGCAAAGAAATACAGTCTTTAATTTTGTAGTAGTTTCATTTTAATGGAGAGAGAGAGAATAGCAATCAAAAACAGAAAGTTATAAATGGATTTGTGTAACCGGTGTGATTCTGCGTTGTGTCTGATAAAAAAGGTAAAAGAAAGAAAGGCCTCCAAGTAAATAATTTGTCCACTCCAGCTCCTCTCCCACAGGGGAATTGTAGAAAAGGGCTGGCATTTATTTTTACATTAAACATAAAGTATGGATTTACATGTAACATATTTGACATAAGATAAAACAAAAACAACAACACAAAATCCGACATACCTGATAAAAAAGGTAAAAGAAAGAAAGGCCTCCAAGTAAATAATTTGCCCACTCCAGCTCCTACGACCAAATACAAACAGTGGGGAAGAGGGTTACCTCAACCCACCACAACTAAAATCACAATCAGAAACATCCAGGTGGCTAAGTATGCATTATATGAGCGTTTTACAGTGTTGGGAAAGAAATTATACCAACCTCTCCCACAGGGGAATTGTAGAAAAGGGGAGAGGCAAAAGGGGTACACTGTATTTATAGGGTTGCACCAAAGAAGAAGAAGAAAAGAATGAGGAGGGGCTGTAACTGATAATGAACATAACTACAGGCTTGGAGGTCCTAAAAGTCAGGTATAAAAGGAACGGTTTGGGGGTTTATAACACATTTTGTGTAATTATAACAATGTGATTTATGACCCTGTTACATTTGCATATCACTGAGTGAAACATCCTACAACGCAACTAGAGCTTTGGCTCGCACTGACTGGCTGTGTGCACATGTGTGCACACGTCCTTCCCTCAGCCACAACACTAAGATGGGTCATGATGGGTCTTCCCAGCATCAAAAACAAGTCCAAGGCAAGTGACTAAAGAAGAAGCGCATTACGGTCATGGGGTGGCTTCAGTCTCCAACGACAATAAACTTACCGCTTTTGCTTGCCAACAAGGGTTTCTCAGCTGTTGTTTTGCTTGGGGATAAAATACTTAATAGAGTCAGTGACATGCAGGTCAATTTATAACTTTTATGTGTTTTTTTTTCTTGATTGTTGTTTGATATTCTGTCTCTCTCAATTAAAAAAACTGCCATAAAAATTAGAAACTGTTCATTTTTTTAAAAGTTGGTTCTGTTCATCTGGATGTAGAGCTTTCAGTGAGAGAAACGCTTATCACTCATGCGAGTGACTGACTGAAGAAGACATTCGGATGAGAGTGGGATTGATCGAGCACGGATCAACACAAGTGCATTTCTTTGTAACTGAGCGAACTTACAAATTCAGCAGGGCTTCAATAATTATTCTAAGTGTGTATATTATGTGTAAAAATATTACTGAATTAAAGGATGTCTTGATCAGTGTTGGTCAAGTTACTTGAAAAAAGTAATCAGTAACTAATTACTGATTACTTCCCCAAAAAAGTAATCCTGTTACTTTACTGATTACTTATTTTCAAAA